ACCAAATCTTGATATTTTTCCTTCCATTTCTTGTCACTAGTATATAGATATAATTGTGTGCTGATTTTATAAGTATGCACCATGTTTCCTATTCTTTTGAAAGTTTCAAGAAAAAACATGTACTACTAAGGGTAATCTCTTCTTGGGGTTATGATTTTTTTCAAGGATTAGATTAAACTTATCAACAAGTCGAGGTGCTACAAACTGAAGATTAATTGAGGAAAGAACGATGAAAATGATTAGGAAATGTTAACTTTAGGCCGTTCGAAAGAAAAAGTGACAAAAAATAATTTGTGTAGTTAATTCAAATTTAACGAGAAGAGAATGTTTGGCATGATAATAAACTTTACTCATAAGTAAATAAGTAAGTTTTAAAAATATTTACCTTTTTATTAGTGTAAGTTTGAAATAAGTTTGCTGCTTATTTTGACATTAAAGAGAGAAGTTCATAGATTTTCATTGATAAGCAATCTGATCTATTCAAAAAAGTAACTTTATATTAAGTAACTTTATATTACTTAAGTGTTTGTTTGGTAAGAATTGTATATGCTAAAAAGTTTGTCAAAACTCCTATTTAGGGTACCGTTATCTGCATTTACAGTTTTTATATATGCATCACGAATAATTGGTACAAAATGTTCATATCTTTCATTTTTCATATTTTTGTCCTCGTTTCCATATTTCTTTGCGCTGAAAGTCCTTTTCACCAATTTTTAATGGAAAATGACTATTATACCCTCGTGTTTAAATAAAACAAAATAAAAAAGAAATGAAAGATAAAGCAAAAATTGCAATCATACCTCCAAACTTTTAAAAGTGCCAATGAGTCCCAAACTAAATTATTAAAATTGCAAATGAGTCCAATCATTTAACAACATTCACTAATTGAAAATCTTGAAAAAAGAGGGAGGAAAATCTCAAGAAATGAATGCCATCACTGCATCGTCTACCACCACCACAGCCACGATCGAAGAACACAATAGTACCACCGATTTTTCCAATTTGCACACAGACATCATAGAAGCCCACATCCTCCCTCATTTAGACGGTCCTACTCTGGCGGTTCATCACCACTCTTCCTCAAAACTCAGCTGTTCATCACCATTAGCCATCAGAATTGATATTAGTAGTTGATATAAATTACAAAGACAAATTAATTTTCAATAAAGTCTAAGAAATTTAAACTGTGACCGGGTGGTCCCAATGCTCGCCTTTCAAAATTGACAAGCAAAAAATTAGGAGGATTGACCAAATCAATTGCATAAACTTTCAGAAATACGGAGATAATTAGGAAGAAGTTTAAACAAATAAATCGAACAAAGAGACAGAAAGTGCACACGACTATTTTTTTCGCAACGGAGTTGTTATACAACTTCTTAAGGGTTTCAATCGCCACGTTGGAATGGCGAGCGGCGTTCACCGTTCTCTCATCCTTACTAGCAGCGACAGTGGGTGCCTTCTTACAGATAACAACTAGTTCCCAATCCTGTGCAATTCCTGCCATTTTTATTGTTATTCTTCTCTACTTTGCCTCTCTTACTTTCGATAAAAAATCTCTGTGTGCGCGCTGCCAACTTTTGTGAGGATTGCTGATGATACTATTATTAATCCTGTTACTGTACAGAGTCATTGGTTGACCGAGGAAGTGTAGGTGTGCTTTGCTTCAATCCTAGACGTTGCTCGTGGTCACATGCAGTGCGTTCAAGGAAGGGAAGATGATGTAGATGAGAGAAATAAGTTCAGAAAATGAGGACATAGATGAAATGATTGCAATTTTAATAAATTAGTTTGGGACTCATTGGCACTTTTAAAAAGTTTAGGGTTATGATTGCAATTTTTGCTTTATCTTTCTTTTCTTTTTTCTTTTGTTTTATTTAAACACAAGGGTATATTGGTCATTTTCCATTAAAAATTGGTGAAAAGGACATTCAGTGCAACGAAAGGTGAAAATGATGGCAAAAATGTCAAAAAATGAAAAGTATGGATGTTTTCCACAATACACTTAAAAGGTATGGACGTTTTGTGCCAATTACCCTATGCATCACACTTTATATACATCCCTATTAAAATATTAAAATTTTAAAAAATTATTATTTTCATCCACGTCAAATTCCAATTTTGTCCTTATTAAATTTATTCGTTTAAACATTATAGATTTATACAAATTTTATATATTTATCCCACTATAAATATATTCCTAACACAATTTTGAAAATCACTATATTCATCCAATCACTATCAACATTTAATCTGGTTCTTATTTTTTATTTTCTATATTATCATGTCGATGTTTTACTATTTAGTTATAAAAGTTAGCAAAATTTTTTTTTTTTAGATTTATAGGATTCTCTTAAAAATATAATGTTCATGCTACCAAACAAATCCCTCATTGAATCATATATTAATTAACTTTTTTTTTGCTTATAAAATCATAATTTTGGTTGTTTGTGTTTCGATTGATAATTTTAAGTTCGTTTCCTTTTATAATGTAAGAATATTGAATAAGTATTAAAACTTATTTTGAAATTTCTCCTATATTTTCATCCATCAAATCAATACTTAAAAAAAGCATAAAAAATAAGATTCCATTTTTCATATCATGAAAAAATTATAACTCTAATAATGTGTTGTTATTATTATTATTAATTTCCATTGAAGAGGATATTTTATGATTGGGGTTTTATAATTTTAGTTAAAGATGATGTTTTATGATTGTTAGAATCTTCGTTAAACACAAACTTTAAAATAATATAAAAAGGTTTAAAAGAAATTCAAAAAATCAACATTAGTTGATGAATGTAGAACAATATTTTTTTTTTCAATTATATATATATGATGTCTATTTAGATAAATTTATATAAGATAAAAAAATATAATATAATTTATCTTTTTAAAAAGTGGATGTATATATAAAAATTATGGATGTAAATAGCTGTACTCTAAATAAATAGATATATCTCTCTTTATAGAGCAAAGAGAGTAAAAAAAATAAATCTACCTTGATGATTAAGGGTTGAGATCTGCTATTCAAAATTGACGATCCAACTTGCTGTTTATTTGACATATCATTTTTCACCTATTTTTAAGTACAAATGACAGTAATGGAAAAGTTGAAGGTATTAATTTAAAAAGATGTGTCAATAAATTCTTTGAGGTTTAACTTTTTTTTTTTTTTTTTTTTAAACGCTACCTTGTAAGTAGGAAAAATTGCACATTAGTACCAGACATATTTTTCATTAGCAAGTTGGTCTTAAACCTTTCATTATATTTGCATAATCAGTCCTTGATAAAAATAGTCCAAATATTCATAAAATCGCCACACGGTTCTCACATTTCCAATTGATAAAGCTAGTTTTCTTTTCCAACTTTAAATGGTGCTCAAAAGTTTAAAGTGTTTTCATGTGAGGCAAGTGAAAATTTAGTGAGATTTAAATAGCTCCGGCTATCATGAGATAATTGTGCAATTACAATGAAACATTGAGATCAACTTGCTCATTTTTAAACACTGGCCACCAAATGTGCAATTTTTGCTTATACGTACTGATAAGTAAATACTCTATTTTAGATAATTTTTTTTTTTAATAAATAAGTTACTCCTTAAAGTTATAGTTAAATATTTTTATTTTTAACTAAAAGATAAATTATTCAAATATATTTGAAAACGAAAATTTACTTAAAAATTAATTTAATTCTTTTCAAGCTTATCCAGACATTAAAGGTTTGTTTAGTTTGTGTTTCAAGTTTTAGTTTTGAGTTCATTTTCCAATAATTTTTTCGTCACAAAAGTAAAATAAAAATAAATAATAAAATGAGTTCAAAATATATGAAATAAAAATAAATTAATAACATGAACTGAGAATATTTTTGTTTTCGTTTAAACACTTTTTTTAGTATTTTTATGTAAACTAGTCACATGCCCGTGCAATGTTTGAAGGTAATATTAGTGTGTTAAATGTGTTGAATTTTCTTAAATTACATCATTAACTCAATTTTTACTCGAAACGATTTTCAATTATCCAACTCTCAGTAAATGAATTTGTAATAAAAAAGCAAATTGATGTGAAGTTCAATCGAATGAAAGTAGGAAAACATAACAAAGACAGATGAAGCTAAAATCAAATATTGATTGGATTAGCCTGGACAATAAAGCAAGTAGGACATGTGGAAGAAAATAGTCACAAAGTGTAAGAAACTTTGCATTTTTTTAATCCCCACGATCAGTTTCTTTTCCCGTGCTTGTTAACCGTGTCTTTCCCTATCGATTTCTTGGATGTATTTACCAAGCATCCTCTTATTCTCCCTCACGAGCTCTTCAAGATCCAGAGAATAATATGCTTAGACAAGTTTTCCCTTCTCTCTTCTCTTATACCCGAAGATATAAAAATCAAAGAGGGGAAAATCATATACCACGCAATCAAAATAGTTACAATTAATTATGGAGAAGTGAACGAAATTGATGCTAATGATAGAGTTGCAAGCGACTTGCAGCGAAAAATTCCACGACTTCTAATGAGACATTAGTAATATCTGAATAGGCAGCAAGGGTACATCATTTGATAGTTCTTCCAACATCAACTGCTTGTAGAAAGAACCTAGTATCATTCAAATGTTACTTAGGCTTTGCTAATCCTATATCTCCAACACTACAGTCCTTTAAGAAGAGGATATAACAAAAGCTTATTAGGCATAGCTATTAGCGAAAGAACGATTATAAGTGAATCATAGATAACCTTTAAACTTGATCAACATATGATAGAAATTATAAAATAATCAAAAAGAACATCTAAAACAATGTTTGGAATGAGAGAAAGTTAGGTTCAACCAAAATCCATTCTTCCCATAGAAGTGAAGTTATGATGTATCAGAAACCTAGCTGTTACCTCCAACAAAAATTCAGAAGTGCTAAAGACACATTCAACAAGATTTCTAAGTATTGTGACCGCCAATACAATCCATTTTTTTAGAATTTTAAATAACAAAATACACAGCAATCCAAATGCTACAACTTGCAAGTTATAGTAATGCACTTATACCTTGCCGTCACTAGTTGGTGATCCACAGATTGAGTTCAAAGATATTTTCGAATCATCTCCAAATGAACAATTAGAACACAAGAATTAGTCCAACTTCTTCGCTTCTTTAGTACTATATTATGCCTATGATAAAAACTAATAGAATCAAAAGTATCAACATGGAGCTTGATGGCCATGCTTATATCCCAACCCATAAAAATCTTGATTCCTCAGAATGATACAAAATATAAATTACTACCAAACTAGAACTCTCTAACCACTTTGCTGGTCAATAGTTGAAGGTCTTATCAAAGGCAACAATTCCATCGAAAAGAGGATAGCAGACAATGATAATGGATACTTTCGGTACACAAACTAAAATAATGTGGATATGTAAAATGAAGTTGGAAATTCACTGTCGTGAAACATGGGGCAGTGTTGAGAGAATATGATCAATATTGTTTAGCTTCCCACAGCCACCATCTTTTGGACACAGGCTAATTGATGATTCATCTCAACCAATATTGATCAAGACATGAAAAGATACAAAAGAAGAAAATTGATTTATATGAGTAATTAAGAAAATAAAGCAATAAAAAATCCATAAATATTAATGACGGAACTTACCATTGTCATTGTTATATCTTTAATGAATCCTAGTGTCTGAAAAAAGAAACTCCTTCCCATTCTTCATCAAGGTAGAAGAACATAGAACAACTTATTAAGTTTCGAAATAAGAAAACTGCATATTTTCATGTAAAATGTACTTTGTAAGAACAAGAATAATCTATTATTCATATGAAATAACCTACACGAAAATGGAAGCAGGATAAATGCAATTTGATGCATCCATGAAAGAAACTATGTAACTATTACTCTAATGTGTGCATTAAAACATGTAATCCACAAATTGGAATGCACATCATCGCCAATAAGTGGCATTATATGTTAGGATGATTCACAAAGAACTTGACAAGACGATAGATAATCATCTCACCATATCGATATGCTCTCGTTGAACTTAAAATTAAAGTGGTAATCAGGAGCTTCTGAAGAAAATAATGTTTTCTCAATTCAAACACTAAGGTAATATTGGAGAAAGAAACCACATGAAATATGGACAAAAGGACATTGAAAAGACAGAAATAAAATTAAAAGGAAATCATTCGTTGAATGTCGAAGAACTCTTTTTATTTTTATTTTGAATATTTTAGAACTCATAGGTAGTAGTTAGAAAAGTATCTACGAAAACAATATGTTCTTATTCGAATGCCTACGGTGATAGGATATGAATAAAACAAATGGAACATTCAAACTTAAGCATACCTCAGATGTCAGGCCCGATTCAGTTCGCTTCATAGATGACAGTGGTGTTGACCCTGCTCATCCGTATGGAAGTGAAAATTTAATAGATAATCATACTTTTTGTTGTTGCAGATGTCGATAGTTGTTTCACAGCTTGAAACCTATTGAGATGATTTTCAAAAAGACCTAGAACTTTTTCTCCTTATTGATAAAACAACCAGATAAAGATCAGATCACAGAATAATGCAGCCATTTTGAGCCACATATATCCTTTAATTTTCATCAAAACCTCTGTATCCTTTTATAGACTTTAAAAAATTGAAAAACATGAGCAATGGACTCTCCAGAGATACAAATGATCCTCAAAAATCAAGATTGAATCTGTTTGAGATGAAATATATAAGTGAAGTTATCAGAATAACATAATCTAAAACTCAAAATGAAGTAGTAGAAATGAAAATTATAAGTGTTGTTAATTAATTAATCAATTTTTTGGTGTAGAAATAGTCTCCAACCTAAAAGACAATAGTCTTTCACTATTATTTCTCCAATTCTTACTTAAAATTATTAGTTTCTCCTGCATATATTGAATCTTGGTGCATTTCTCCTTATTCTACAACACCATTAATCGTGATGTTTTCCTGATTCAAATTGATATTTACATTCTTGTTCCTTGCTACTCCATGAATTTAAAGAAAAATCATCATAAGAATATAAGAAATTGCATGTTACACATGAAATTGCTTTGAGAAACATTACCAGTAAATGAATGAATTCGTAAAGTTACATTAGATAATAAATGCACAAAATTTAATCACACCTCTGTAAACTGTAATCAAAAGGTAGAGGGTGAAGAAGGGGCAAAATAAAGAGCTACTCCATTGGCACTGCAATTGTATTATTTTCACATAATCAAACCACCATGAAACCTTAAAGACAAAAATGTCACGCACCAGCACCAACGATAGTGTATTAAAAATAAGAAAATTTGAGAAGCTCACATGTCAAGAATCCAAAAAAGAATTACTTGTTGAAGTTGAGAGAATATCGAACATAGGAGCAAAAGTGAGAAAACCAGCTAGATCAAGTTACATCGACAATTAGTCAATAGTCTAACTTCACAGCAAATACATTGCAAGAGGACACCTCTTCTAGATATCTCCTTCAACAAATATTGTTGGATTCATCTGTCTTGTTAAAAGGAAGATTGGTTGATAAGGGAAACTGTTGTTGCTTATGAAAGAGTTAAGAGGGCCAGGTTGAAAATGGAAGTCTGAGACTGAAAAACAATGAACACAAAGAAGAAATTAGAGGAGCAAATTGAGTGCAAGTCGAACGAAACTGGGGAACTGAAAGTAAAAAATTCTAAATTGGAGGCTCATGTTTTGGAATTCGAAGCTACATTCAAAGAAAGAAGTCAATTTTTTGATTTGAGAAAACATTTTGAGGAAAACAAGTCGTTCTATTTGTCCAGAATTGAAAACTTTGAGGCTTAGGTGAACAATCTACATCTCAAAATATAAGGAAGTCTAGATTTCCTCAAGTTAGTTTACACTTTGGTTGTTCTTTTTTATCTATTTTTGTCTTTGTTATAGACAAACCGTTTTTGTAATCCCCTTCATGCTAGTCAATATAAAATAAATAGTGCACTTCAATGAAAACAACAGCTAAAAAAATAAAGAATAAAAGAATAAATAATAACGAAAATCATACGGTGGACAATGAATCTTGTTCAGATTGCACGTCGAACTGAGTACTTTTAATCGTCTCGCCAGCTCATTAGCATGGAGTATATTATCAAGTTTTGAGTGGCCATATGCAGCCTACTTGTTGTACTTGGATGTACACAATCAAAATCACATATAACAATATATCATCTTCCTTGAATTCATAACCTGATCCAAAAGATGAATTAGATAAGGAGATAGAATCAAATACCCTTCTTTATCATTAAGCCTATTGAAATGAATTCCTCTGCTATACATAAAGTGGATGTGCTAGAGGGATAAAGAGGAACAAAATGGTGAAATACTCTGTGATTTTACAACCTATAAAATGTTTAATTAAGATCGTGTTTGAGCCCCCATTTTATTATAAGAATCCATTTTGAAATAGAATGGAGAATGTGTGGTTAAAAATGAAAAAAAAAATTGGTTTACTTAATGTTATTTTATTGAAGAAACTGCGATTAAAAAGAAGAGATGGAGAAATGTATCTTGAAAATAATAGAGATCAAACAAGAGCTAAATGTGAGACGGCTTCTTTAATCAATAAGCCCACTAAAATGACAAAAGAATTCGACTTCTTTTATCATTGAACCGACTAAAATAATGAAAGGAGTATACTAAAATGGATGTCATATGTACATCATATTTAATCCTAAAATGATTATAATGACTAAAATGATGAAAGAAGTCGGCTAACTAAAATGACTTAATTTCATCACATCCTGATATGATCGCTAACAATCTGCTCAGAGCAATAAAAGACAGAAGAATGTGACCTGATAGTCTATTACCAAAAAGAAACACTACTTTCAGGTGGTGTAAGACTGAGACCTACCAGTATTTCGCTGGACAGCTTATTATCATTGAGGTAAAGAGATTTCAGATTTACAAGGCCAGAGAGTTGTGGAATTGATTGAGATAATGAGTTTTTTTTAAAACCATAAAACCCTAAGCTGATCCAACTGATTTAGGCTTTTCCCACCCTGTGTGCCAGTCAAATTTACTCTTTCAACCATGAGCTTGATGACCCTTCTATTCATGCATTTTTTAACCCCTTCCCACTTGCAGAAATCATTTCCTCCTCCCCATTGAAGAAAACACTATAGGTTATTACAACCCAATTACAGCCTTCAATGCAAGGATTGACTAATTCAGACATGCATTAGGAATTAATTAAATAAGAAATTGCAAATCGACACTTTGATGAATATTATTCTACAACTTACAGCAATAGCTGCAATAGGAGTCGTTATTCTCTCAATTGCTTCCAAACCTTCTCTTGTAAGGTTGAGTTTTGTGTGACCAAGTCACCAAGATCAGGTTCTATAATAGGAAACTAGCAATAACGACAAATGGCATCAGAAAGGAAGACTGAAAAAGGTAGGTTGCCTTTTCATCTCCTAGTGATATTTGCACAGCAACATAAATCAGCTAGTGAGACTGCCTTTTGTATGTGTCCATATGTAACAAATCAAAATTTATTGTCAACTAATAGAGCCATCAATAAGTAATTGTAAAACCACTAAATTAATACAATAATTTGTATCTACATCAAATCAAATCAGTTGGCTCATATACAAGCAGTAATTCAGAAATTACAAAATCCATGTCTGAGAAGGGCTCTTCCTCGAGATCAAGATCGCTACCAGTATCTTTTAAATCACGGTGCCTCATTACTGATTCCATGTCTTTCATAAATTGATCCACATCAAAATTCACAACTTTCATGTTTCTACTTTCCATTAAGAAGAACGAAGTAAGGTTAATTTTCATTCAACATGAATTGAATCCAATGAACAAAATCTTGAAATACAATTCACACGAAGATGGGGAGAATCTAAACAATTCAAATCTGAGTCCATGATATGAAACTGGAAACCCATAAATACACTCAAGTGCAGAGCAGATGTTTGATTTGGGCAATTTGTTCACAAACATTCAATAATACTTAAAAAATTAAATTTCATTTTTGAAAACGTAGACAAAACTGAAATATTAAATCTCTGCAAAATCATATGCTAATTTCCACATGAAACCCATCAAGAGATTCTCAATGTTGTCCCAAAAAAATTAAAAAGTGGAGAAAACGTAACTGTGTTCAATCAATTAAAACCCAGAGGAAAAAGGAACTGACAAAAGAAAATGGTAAGAATGTGAAATAATGTACACAAACACAAAAAATTGAACAAAGAATACACAACGAGAACATCAAAGGAACGGACTTTTGCTATTTCGAGTTCCATTTCTAACAAAAAAAAAATGAAAAAGAAAAATCGCAGATTGAACAATACAAGTGAAGAAACAGTAAGAAATATACAGTAGAGGAAAAAATTGAAGAAGGAAAGATTTTACTCACAGGTCGTATATGCCTCAGTTGCCTCGGGTTGTTTGGGATTTTTTTTTACTATCGAAATAGAAAGAGGGCGATTAGGGTAAGTGACTTATTTAGGTCACAAATATGATTTAAATACGAGAAAAATGATTGAATTGTAACTTAATCTTGTATAATTGTGAATTGTAGGAAACAACGATGAACAGAGTGAAATTCAGGTGAAAAGACGCGAAAAAGAACTAAAGTGATGCAAAGTAAAAGTTCAGGGACTAAAAGTGCAAATATTAAAAAGTTGATCCGATGAACAAATCGAGAAATCAATTAGGCTAATTGCCAAATTGAAGATTCCGTGGGGTGATGAAATGAAAAGAATGAAGAGAAGATGCTAAGAAGTGAAGGACGCAAGTTGGAGGACCAAAACGTAATTTCTCCATAGTAGATAGTACTATGCGACCGCATAGTATTATTTTCTATGCGGTCGCATAGTACCATATCGAAAGAAAAAAGGGGTGAAAAATTCCTTCTATGCGACCGCATAGAATTACTCTATGCGGTCGCATAGAACAAAAAGTTGAAGAAAATTTTGGTTTCTTTTTTTTTTCCGAAACTCTTATGGAAACAAAATTTTAGGATCCTATAATAACAAAAACTCGACCAGAACGAAAGGGACGCCATTTTTACATGTTTTTGGGAGATTTTGAAGAACAAAAAAGGGAGAAAACAAGAGACAAACACTGCGCCAATTGAAGATCGGAGTGAATATTGATTCGGGTGATGTCGTTTCTTCCAATACTTTTAAGTTTTGTCATTTTTAACATGTTAGGCTAAATTTATTAGTACTAGGAGATCGATGAACTTTGTAATACAACGTTTAATTTTTGTTTTGGATTTTTGACGTGTGTAAACACCAATTCCGGAATTGATTGATTTATTTCGTTTTTATTTTCATATAATTATTGTGCACGTAATTATATGAATGTGGTGACCTGTTTTATGCATTCAAAAGGAAGAAAATAGGTTCGACATAGTATAAATCGTCATAGGGTCCGATAAAGGATAGAAATATACCTCTATGCCTTGTGTGAATCAATTGATATTCGTGAATTATAATGCATGTCGGTATATTAGTATTCGTCATAGAAATATAGTCGAATCATATATTGGGATAGGTTTGGCATTGCTCGAGAGAGATTGCTAAATTAAAATAGGAATATCGATTCATCTTTTGTGGAATTGTGTGTCAAATTTGCATAAATAACTATTGAACGAGTATTTCTTGGGGATTCGTGATCCTAGTGAGTTAGAACATTCATTAATTCTATAAAATTTCAGTTAAATTGCATCCAAGTTACTTTGAACTTAATATAATCCTTAGTCAATAATTGCATCAACGATTACATTTTGTTAGTTAAATTACAAGAACGCAATTTGCTTGTCGTGTTTCGGTTAAGGTCATATTAGATTAATTTAAACTAACTCAATCCTCGTGGGATCGATATTTGGACTTATAGTCCATTTTACTACTTGTTAACGAACTGTACACTTGCGGTGGGTTTTGATTCGAAACAAATAATTTCGCGAACAAGTTTTTGACGCCGTTACTGGGGATTGAAATTTAGTTCTAATTTTATATTTTGTGACACTAATTCGAACTTATCTAGATTAGTAGTAGTTCGTTTACTAGGTTTAGTTTATTAATACTTCAATTTAATTCTATATTGATTTTGAAATCGCAGGGCTTGTATGCAAGGAGCACCTGATCAAAATTTGATTCGCATAGATCCAGAGATCGAACGCACATTCCGTCATAAATAAAGAGAAGCAAGAGTGACACAACAAATGGCTAACAAGCAAAATCGACGGGCAATTCCACTCAACGAAGGCATGTCAGTTGAAGATGATGGGAATACAGTACTTGGGGACTTCATGGCTCCGTTGGTGGTCCAAAGTCAATCTAACATTGTGTATCCTCCATTTGGGCAACCGAACTTCCAGCTGAAAACAAATGTGATTCAACTGTTTCAGAATGGGCATCAATACCATGGGATGGCTAGCGAAACCCACATACACACATATCCCGATTTCTGGATATGTGCCAACATTTCAGGCATCAGGGTATCTTGGACGATGCTATAAGACTGTGGTTGTTTTCACACACCTTACGGGATAAGGCACTTGAATGGTTGGTTTCGCTCCCCATTGCAAGCGTCGCCACTTGGAACGAGCTAGCCCACAAATTCTGCACCAAGTTGTTCTCGCCAGTAAAGGTAGCAAAAATGGGGCATGATATCTCTATTTTCAACCAAGGTGAGTCCGAATCATTTGAAGAGACGTGGAATCGTTTCAAGAATATGTTAAGGAAGTGCCCGCAACTTGGTTTTGACAAGAAGACACAAATTCGATTTTTCTTCACTGGACTACTTCCATCCTTCAAGAGCATGGTTGATTCCTCATCTGATGGGTCTATCTCCACGAGAACAATTGATGGAGCATGGGAGCTATTTGAGAGAATGGCAGCAACTTCAGCCATGTGGTCTACAGATCGAGTGGTTCAGAAGAGATCGCCAGGGGTTTATGAAGTAGATACTTATTATGCACTATCTGCAAAGATAGACTCTTTGTTCCATAAGGTTGAGAGCATTTCACAGACCGCTACTGCTAAACAAGTCAAGAAACCGAGTTGTGAAGAATGTGGAGCAGACCACAATACTGTTAATTGTCCAATTCTCGCACAAGGGGTCAAACGTGCAGATTTTGTGTAATGGGGTCAACGCCAACAAAATAACCCACATTCGGAAACTTTTAATCAGGGCTGGAGAAAACATCCAAACTTCTTGTGGAGCAATCAGAATCAAAACAGACCACAAGGTCAATATCAGCAGCAGGATAAAAAGCCACCATTGGAAGAGATGTTTGAAAAGTTCATGGTAACAACCAACCAGTACATGGAAGCCAATGATTAGTTTATGCGAAAGACAGATGCAACTCTTCAAGATCAGAGTGCAGCAATCAAAAATTTGGAGACACAAATAGGACAGATGGCAATCTCCATTACGGGTAGAACACCAGGAAATTTGCCCAGCAACACTGAAATCAACCCTAAGGAACACGCAAAGGCTATAACAACCAGAAGTGGAGTACAACTACCGGAGATACATGTCAAAAGATCGGTAGCTAGCAAGGAATCGGTACCAACCTCAGATGACGAAATTGTGGAACAAATTGGACAAACAACAGGGAATGTGGGCAAGGAGAATTCCAATACATCACGGGATGCCATTCCTATCAACCCTCATGAGTCTCCTATTTCGTTTCCGCAAAGATTGAAAAAGCACAAATTGGATCAGCAATACAGTAAATTTCTTAAAGTCTTCAAGAAACTACATATCAACATTCCATTTGCCGAAGCACTTGTTTAGATGCCAAGTTATGCAAAATTTCTGAAGGATATCCTCTTCAACAAGCGAAAGATAGAAGAACACGAAACAGTGATGCTAATTGAGGAGTGCAGTGCCAGAATCCAGAGAAAGTTGCCTCCAAAACTAAAGGACCCAGGGAGTTTTACTGTACCTTGCACTATTGGAAATTGTCATTTTGATAAAGCATTGTGTGATTTAGGTGCAAGTATTAATTTACTGCCTCTCTCTGTTTTCAGGAAACTCGGCTTGGGAGAAGCTAAGGCCACAACGGTTACATTACAGTTAGCAGATAGATCCCTTACACATCCAAGAGGGATCATTGAAGACATATTGGTTAAAGTGGAGAAGTTCATATTTCCAACTGATTTCCTTACCTTGGATATGGAGGAAGATAAGGATGTTCCACTTATATTGGGGCGGCCTTTCCTAGCTACTGGAAGAGCGATTGTTGATGTTCAGAAATGGCAGCTTATACCGAGGCTTGGCGAATAGCAAATCTCGTTCAACGTGTTCAAGGCAATGAAATTCCCAACTGAGTCAGACAGCTGTTTCCAGATTGATGTAATCGACAGAATAATTCAAGATACATTTCGACTACATCATCATTCCGATGCTTACGAAGCGTGCATTGCACATTCTCAATCCACTCACATTGATTCGAGTGAGATTGAAACATGTGCACGATTTTTGGAAACTAATCCGCCATACATGCGCAGACGCTATTTCGAAGAACTGGGAACCAGGACTACACAGTCAGTGTCATCTATTCAGCAACCTCCCGAATTGGAATTCAAGCAACTGCCACCACACCTGAGATATGCTTATCTGGGGGAATCTTCTACACTTCCGGTTATTATATCAAGTACGGTCAGTGAGGTGGAAGAAGAGAAACTACTTCGGGTGCTAAGGGAAACAAAATAGCCATTGGATGGTCGATTGCAGATATAAAGGGGATCAGTCAGTCGCTATGCATGCACAAAATACTCATGGAGGAAAAATTCAAACCAAGCATTGATGGTCAGCGGAGGTTGAATCCACACATGAAGGAAGTGGTTAGAGCTAAGGTATTAAAGTTGCTCGACGCAGGCATCATCTATCCAATATCTGATAGTGCTTCGAACTGTGACTGGATGGAGAGTGTGCATTGATTATCGCAAACTAAACGTCGCTACTCGAAAGGATCACTTCCCACTACCGTTCATTGATCAGATGCTGGAAAGACTAGCTGGGCATTCACATTATTGTTTTCTGGATGGATATTCCGGGTATAATCAGATTCCAGTAGCACCTAACGATCAGGAGAAGATAACTTTCACTTGCCCATACGGTACCTTTGCATACCGTAGGATGCCGTTTGGTTTATGCAATGCTCCTGCAACTTTTCAGCACTGCATGATGGCTATCTTCTCAGATATGATTGAGAAATTCGTCAAGATCTTCATGGACGATTTCTTAGTGTTCGGGTCTTCATTTGATGAGTACTTTGAGCATTTGAGTCTTGTGCTACAGAGGTGTACGGAGACTAACTTGGTATTGAATTGGGAGAAATGCCACTTTATGGTACAGGAATGCATCATGCTAGGACACAGAATCTCAGCAAAGGGTACTGAGGTGGACAAAGCAAAGATTCAAGTAATCGAGAAATTACCGCCACCTATATCCGTGAAAGGGGTTCGTAGTTTCCTCAGGCATGCCGATTTCTACAGAAGATTCATCAAGGATTTCTCAAATATTACTAAACCGTTGTGCTGTCTGTTGATGAAAGAGTCCACTTTTGAGTTCACAGATGAGTGTCTGCTTGCTTTTAACACTTTGAAGGAGAAACTGATCTGTGCACCCGTGATTATTACGCCAGATTGGAATCTACCATTTGAATTAATGTGCGACGCCAGTGATTATGCTGTTGGGGCTGTCTTAGGACAACGAAGAAATAAGATATTTCACGTGATTTACTATGCAAGTAAGACCTTGAACGAAGCTCAACTCAATTATGCCACTACAGAAAAAGAGCTCCTTGCCGTAGTCTACGCCTTTAACAAATTTCAGTCATATCTCGTGGGATCAAAGGTCATCGTTTACACAGATCACGTTGCTATCAAGTACTTAATGGAAAAGAATGATGCAAAACCCCGTCTCATTCATTGGATACTGTTGTTTCAAGAGTTTGACTTGAAAATCAGGGATAAGAAAGGCAGTGAAAATGTAGTGGCAGACCACTTATCTCAACTCAAGGCCACAGAACAGACAGAAACAGTGGAAATCAATGAAGTCTTCTCAGATGAACAGATTTTTGGTTTGGGAGAGGCACCCTGGTATACAAACATCGTTAACTACTTAGCCAGATCTATCATGCCGCCTAATTACTCCAGTCACCAGAAGAAGAAATTTTTCTCTGAATTGAAATATTATTTCTGGGAAGATCCCATCCTATACAGGCGGGGTGCAGATCAAATTGTTCGTCGCTGCGTACTTGAGGAAGAAGTGCCTTTGATATTAGAACATTGTCATTCATCTACATATGCAAGGCATTTTGGTACTTTAAAAATAGCAGCGAAGATCCTTCAATCCGATTTTTATTGGCCTACACTATTTAAAGATGCTTTTGAATTCGTGAAAAGGTGTGACCGATGTCAAGCATCGGAAATATATCCAGGAGAAATGAAATGCCTTTGAATAATATCCTGGAGGTGGAACTATTCGACGTTTGGGGGATCGACTTCATGGGGCCATTTCCCTCATCCTTCTCTAATCAATATATATTAGTGGCTGTAGACTACGTATCAAAGTGGGTAGATGCCGTTGCACTGTCTACCAATGATGGGAAGGTGATGATTGAGTTTCTAAAGAAACATATTTTTACCCGCTTTGGAACACCGAGGGCTATAATCAGTGACGTGGGCAAACACTTCTGCAATCGTTAATTCGAACAATTGTTGGCTAAATATGGCGTTAAACATCGTATAGCCACTGCATATCATCCCCAAACCAGTGGACAGGTCGAAGTGTCCAATAGACAATTAAAGCGAATACTTGAAGTCATAGTAAGTTCATCACGAAAGGATTGGTCTAAGAAATTGGACGACGCCTTGTGGGCCTATAGAACTGCATTCAAGACCCCCTATAGGAATGTTACCATATCGACTGGTTTTCGAGAAAGCATACCACTTACCTCTTGAGATAGAACATCATGCTTACTGGGCAATGAAGAAATTGAATATGGATTTGAAGGCTATGGGTGAAAAACGTCTCCTACAACTTAATGAGCTAGATGAGTTCAGAATGGAAGCCTACGAGAATTCAAGAATCTACAAAGAGCGCGCTAAGAAATGGCATGACATGCACATTCAGAGGTGTGAATTTATGGTGGGGCAGAAAGTGCTACTCTACAACTCTAGGCTTAAACTGTTTCCAGGAAAACTGCGATCGAAGTGGTCTGGTCCGTATACTATTACACAAGTTTTTCCACACGGGGCAGTTGAGATCACTCACGATAGCAAGGGGACATTCAAGGTCAATGGACAGCGTTTGAAATACTATTGGGACGGCGATTTTTCAAAGGAAAAGTCTACAGTTCATCTTTGCCCATCAGAATGAAGCAACACGGTATAGTCGAGCTATCGACTATAAACTAGTGCTGAGTGGGAGGCAACCCACTGTATCCTTTTATTCGCTTATTTTCCATGTTATTTTTAAAATTATTTCATTCCTGCATTTGCATTTGTTTTTAGGGTCATCGGTTGTTCATGCATGTTACTTGGATCGAACTTGCATCCCCATAATTTCCTAGGCATTACACACATGGTAGTTGAGTTTGAAACGATGTTGAGTGTTTGAGAGCACGGTTCACGTTTTTTTTTAAAATAATAATAATATAAATTTTATGAGGAAAATATTTTTCTTTGCATTTTAGTGTTAAAAAAAAAAACCACATAGATTAGTACTATACGGCCGCATAGTAGATCTCGGTCATGGTTTTAAACCATGACCGAGACATTTTTCCCCATTTCCCCCTAATTTCCTCCCACACCATTCTCACTACTCTCCTACACACATCAACACGCCGAGCTTCACTCGACACCCCACCCCATTTACTCCATCAATCAACATTCCACGCATCCCGTGCGAAGTCTAGGTATGTTCCTCTTTTCTCTTTCTATGCATATGTCTTCTCTATTTTGTTTCGCCATGAGAATATGCTATTTAAACCTGATTGTGGAGGATGGGCAATGCTTTTCGTTGGTTTGGTGTATGTTACATTTGGTTTGTGTGGGGATTGGTGGAACATTGTCACTTTGGTATTGTGTAGGTTCTTTTTCAATCTTGCATCCTACGTGTTCAATGAATTGCCTACGTGACAATTGAAGTGCATATTGCGCAATTCTGCACTGGACATTTCGAGTACATGCATTCCTATATATGTGAAGCCCAATTGCCATCAAAATTGAGCTCGACACTCTCACGCACCAACCACTCACACATTAAGGCACAAGTGTTAGATTCACGTCACCTCATCGCACCCACTTCGTCCCTTGCGTTAGGTACCCGTACGACGTCCAATGAGCTTGAAATTTGAATATGTGTCACTCGACACTACATACTTTCATATGCCCGGAGGTTTCTCGGGAAAATTTCAAGTTTTCTCGATGATGTCCGGGGGCGAACCTACACACTTAATCATCGGATTACTTGATTCATTTTGGTTGTTTGGACCTATGTTTGTGTGTAACTTGTTCTTTTACCTTCCTTGGACGTTCTTGAGCATGTTTTCTTGACATTTGCGTGCTACCACATTCACAACCACTTGAACGACCGTGTATCACATCACTTCTACCTTGCAACGCATAAGCACATGGCATGTCACGGCACCCTACGTCCCACACTTTCCACTATTAATTAGCATATCAAACGAAGTCCATTTGCGTTGAAATTTGAACATGTGGTAGATCTCACTGAATACTCTCATATGCCCGGACCCTGCCCGGGGGAATATCGATATTTCTCGACGATGTCCGGGACCGAACGTGCGCACTCGATCATGGATATGATTTTTTTTACATGTGTTTGTTATGGCCTATCTTTCCAATTTTTCACCTCAGGATTCTCTTCACACATCCCTCTTTATCATATTTTGATACGAATGCACCATGGTACTCTATATGCTTGTTGAAGCAAGTTTGGGGGGTTTGTAAACTATTTGTCTCGCTTGCCTCATTCCCCCTATCGTTTTCATTCCTGCAATTTACTAACTATTGTATCTTTAACTTTGCAGGATGTCCCCAAAGCGTACATCAAAGGGAAAGGAGAAAGTTGGTTTCACATCTGGCACAGCCCGGACTAGGGAACCCGAAGGGGGAGTCAGGCGTTTTCTTTCTTCCGACCAAGCAGCCCGCTATGCCAATGTTATCCGAGAATGGGCGGTTATCCCCGAAAGACCAGTTAAATTGGAAGATTTCCCGGGTTTTGAACTGGTTTATCTCGTCCACAACTGCGGGTGGGAGAAGGTGATTGAAAGACCACACCCAGTCTATGAAAACTTGGTGCGGGAATTCTATGCAAATTTCAATGCTAAAATAGACACACCGGGATCCGACCATTTGCATCAGACTTGGGTTCAGGGCAAATGGATCATGTTTTCAGCTGAAGTAATACATGGCTACTATCAGCTCACCTGGACAAATGTAGTCTCATTCCCGCATGATTTCAACTGGGTTGAAGTGGCTGAAGTTTTATTGGGACGGGAAAATGCTTGGCCGTTCCATACCGCTGATTGGTATCAGATTGACCTCACTCCGTCTATCGCCATCCTTTGGTTATTCATCTGCTACAATATCGAGCCGATCTCCCATCGGACGACATTCATCGATCAGAAGGCTTTATTTACCACTTAGTTCGGGGGAACAAAATTAACTTGGCCACCTATATTTACAATCAGATACACATTATAGGCGCATGGGGTGATAGGCACACATCACTGATATTCCCAAGCCTGATAAGTGGAATTTGTAGAGCAGCTGGCATACAAGTTCAGCCAGGAGAGGCACCGGAGAAACCTAGTCCTTTTATCAAACGCCTCAAACTCGAGGCCCAGGATCGCGCCAGGATTAAACATCACCAGAAATTGGAAAACGAGCACCGGCGACAGCAACAGGGTGCAGAGGGACAAGTAGCTACAGACTTTGAAATGCCACAGGCTCCAGCACCACCAGTTGACGTAGACACCCAGTTATTGCGGCAGATGTTTGCTACTATGACTGGACACGACCGAGACATGCAGCAGCTTCAACAAGCCTTTGGGGCATTGACTACCACAATTCAGCAGGTGCAAACAGATATGGCATCTGCACGAAACTTTGCATCCACTGCCAACAGTGAATCCATCGCAGCACGCCGACAGATGAGTACCTTTGATTGGCATCTAGGCATGTAGGTTAGCCGGATGAACGGTGTACAGTGGCGGGTGAATGAGTCTTGGGACCATCTAGGGAATTTGGAGATGAGGGTTTAGGCCATGCAGATGGAGCAGACCCAGCAGTCTACCATGTTGAGGGAGATCTTGTCTCGCCTTCCCTCTCCTCCTGGCGATGATGATACCGGGTCCAACTTTCCTTCCTAGCCACTATTTTGATCAGGAGAGTATTGTTTATCCCATTTTGATTCTTCATCTTCATTTTGTCTTTAAAAATTCTGTCATTAATCTTTTGTTAATCTTACATTGAGGACAATGTATTACTAAGTTTGGGGAGGGTGACATAATTTATTTCACATCTTTATCTATGTTTATCATTACCTGTTTTTTTTACTATTGCATGCATGATGAGTGAAAAAAAATAATAAAAAGAAAAGAAAATATATATATATATATATATATATATTTGCATTCTATTCAGTCTGTTTTAATTTTCTTCATGCATGCTTGTGTGAGTTTAATAACCTCGTTCGCTATGATGTCATTATTAGACTAGTTGAAATTACAAAATTTTGGATCTGGTGTTAATTAGACTAACTGATATTCGTTGATGCAACACTTAACATTATCTATGCATGCTATTCATGCTTGACATGTTGGACGAATGAATGGATTTTGAGCATAAAGTAGGAAAAGAATGATAATCCTCTATTGAGTTAACCCATAAACTACCTAAAGACAATTTGGTGATAGTTGAGTTATTATAGGAAACCATTGAGATGAGTGGAGGTTCTGTGCATAAAATTTATTGTGTGGATTGCCTAGACCAGTGGGGTGAAGATTAGGTGAAAATCTTAAATTAGGGGTTGGTTTTGAAAACTAAGTGTCTAGAACAAAAAGGGCATAAAATAAATTTGAGCGAATAAGACACTTTTTCCATGCCTTTATGACTCGAGCAAGTAAGCTTGTAAGGATATTTCAAAATCTGGTACCCTAAGGTCAACTGGCTTGAGAGTCACCGGCCTAAAACTTGCTAAAAGGGTCACATAGAAAGAAAGAGGGAAAGAGGTTAATAAAAAGTCATATGATCGAGCCTTCATAACTCAAGTGAATATGCCTGCAAGGGTTTAAAACTTGGTGCCCTAAAGCCAACTGGTTTGAGAGTTATCGACCTAAAGCTCGCTAACGGGGTTGTATAGAAAGTAAATAAGAAGATGATATATAAAAAAAAATAAAAATGGAAAGTGAAAAAAATATATATAAAAAAAAGAGAGACAATAATATGAAGAAAAGTCCTTAGACATTTGGTTGAGGAAACTATACCTTTAAGGCGAGGCAAGTAACCTATTTTAATCTTGAGTGTCGAAGTAATCAAATATGGGAGAGCCTTCACTTGTTGAAATGTAAACTTGTGATAGTGAGATTAATCCAAACTACGAGAAGGAGAGGACTACAGCTATGTAAACTCCTAATTTTAAAACACAACCCCAAGATAATTCAATGATAATAATAAGTTTGGGGGGTGTGCATCTCTCGAGCGAGCAAGGATACTTTTGACCACTTGGGGTCAGGACTCAAACTCATCATGAACCCAATACGTTAGCATGAATTCACACACACACGTCAAGTATACATTTGAAAGGTAGAGGCTAATGTCATGTTTGCACAGATAAATTTTTAAATACTCAGTCCAATCCTGAGCCACAACAGGGTATTAAGCCCTGTTTGTTCATAATTAAGTCACTATCGTATTTGAGGACAAACAATAATTCAAGCTTGGGGAGTTTGATAAGTGTATTATTGCACACTTATTTAGGTCACAAACATGACTTAAATATGAGCAAAATGATTGAATTGTAACTTAATCTTGTACAATTGTGGATTGTAGGAAACAACGATGAACAGAGTAAAATTCAGGAGAAAAGACGCGAAAAAGGAATAAAGTGACGCAAAGTGAAAGTTCAGGGACCAAAAGTGCAAATATCAAAAAGTTGATCCGATGAACAAATCGAAAAATCAATTAGGCTAATTGCCAAATTGACGATTCCGTGGGGTGATGAAATGAAAAGAATGAAGAGAAGATGCTAAGAAGTGAAGGATGCAAGTCGGAGGACCAAAACGCAATTTTTTCATAGTAGATAGTACTATGCGACTGCATAGTATTATCTTCTATGCGGTCGCATAGTACCATACCGAAAGAAAAAAGGGGTGAAAAATTCCTTCTATGCAGTCGCATAGAACAAAAAGTTGAAGAAAATTTTGGTTTCCTTTTTCTTCCGAAACTCTTATGGAAACAAAACTTTAGGGTCCTATAAAAACAAAAACTCGACCAGAATGAAAGGGACGCCATTTTTACATGTTTTTAGGAGATTTTGAAGAACAAACAAGGGAGAAAACAAGAGGCAAACACCGCGCCAATTGAAGATCGGAGTGAATATTGATTCGGGTGATGTCGTTTCTTCAAATACTTGAAGTTGTCCTTTTTAACATGTTAGGCTAAATTTATTACTACTAGGAGATCGATGAACCTTGTAATACCACGTTTAATTATTGTTTTGGATTTTTGACGTGTGTAAACACCAATTCCGGAATTGATCGATTTATTTCGTTTTTATTTTCATATAATTATTGTGCACGTGATTATATGAATGTGGTGACCTGTTTTATGCATTCGAAAGAATGAAAATAGGTTCGACATAGTATAAATCGTCATAGAGTCCGATAGAGGATAGAAATATACCTCTATGCCTTGTGTGAATCAATTGATATTCGTGAATTATAATGCATGTCGATATATTAGTATTCGTCATAGAAATATAGTTGCATTATATATTGGGATATGTTTGACATTGCTTGAGAGAGATTGCTAAATTAAAATAGGAATATCGATTCATCTTTTAGGGAATTGTGTGTCAAATTTGCATAAATAACTATTGAACGAGTATTGTTTGGGGATTCGTGATCCTAGTGAGTTAGAACATTCATTAATTCTATAAAAATTCAGTTAAATTGCATCCAAATTACTTTAAACTTAGTATAATCCTTAGTCAATAATTGCATCAACGATTACATTTTGTTAGTTAAATTACAAGAACGCAATTTGCTTGTCGTGTTTCGATTAAGGTCATATTAGATTAATTTGAACTAACTCAATTCTCGTGGGATCGATACTTGGACTTATAGTCCATTTTACTACTTGTTAACGAACCGTACACTTGCGGTGGGTTTTGATTCGAAACAAATAATTTCGCGAAGAGTAAGGAAAAGAGAAAATAAGTATCCAAGATATCCAAAAGCAGAACATAAAGAGAGGGAGCAAAAAACAATGATACAGAAGCCGACCTTGGAACGAACTCAAGCGTCTTAGTGTTGAGCTGAGTACCAACAGATGCAAGGTTGCTTTCAAAGAAGAAGGAAGCAGAACTCGAAGAGATGAAGCAAAAAACGATGATACAGAAGCTAACCTTGGAACGAACTCAGGCGCCTTAGTGTTGAGCTAATTGCCAACAAATGCAATGTTGCTTTCAAAGAAGAAGGAATGAATTTAGGGGTTTGAAATGGACCGACAGTAAATAATTGCTTTTGTAGGGAGATATTTACAGATGAATAGAAGGAAACCAGTTGGTGAATAGTGTTGAACCAGATGAGTGTGAAACCTCGGTTTCAAGAATGAACAGTGGAGGTTTGATCCTCTATTTTAAGTAGATGGAGATATCGAAATAGAAAGAGGGCAATTAGGATAAGGAAAAGAGAAAATAAGTATCCAAGATATCCAAAAGCAGAACACGAAGAGAGGGAGCAAAAAACAATGATATAGAAGCTGACCTTGGAACGAACTCAAGTGCCTTAGTGTTGAGCTGACTACCAACAGATGCAAGGTTGCTTTCAAAGAAGAAGGAAGCAGAACACGAAGAGATGGAGCAAAAAACGATGATACAAAAGCTAACCTTGGAACGAACTCAGGCGCCTTAGCGTTGAGTTAATTGCCAACAGATGCAATGTTGCCTTCGAAGAAGAAGGAATGAATTTAGGGGTTTGAAATGGACCGACAGTAAATAATTGCTTTTGTAGGGAGATATTTACAGATGAATAGAAGGAAATCAGTTGGTGAATTGTGTTGAACCAAATGAGTGTGAAACCTCGGTTTCAAGAATGTACAGTGGAGGTTCGATCCTTTCTTTTAGAGCCTCTTTGGACCCGATTTTTTTACTCAAAAAATTGATTTTTTGATCGTTATTTCACTATTTTAGCCGTCATATTTGATTTCTTCTCTCACAGGTGGATCCCACTTTTCTCTTAACGGTCAAAAAATCAATTCTCAAAATTACTCCCAAACAGGCTCTTAGTTTATCTTTGCTTTCGAAAATATATTTTCAGAAATACTAGATCAAACACATTTTTAGTGTTCTGCAAAATTGAAAATTGAAAATAGCTTAAACCAACAAATCAAACATACCCTAACATTTCCAAAAAGCACCGAACAATTGCCACCACTATCAACATCGCCACCACTATAACACCAATAGCATCCACGTCCCATCCCACCACTCCAAAGCACCGCACCACAGCCAACAACCTCCAACAACGTCAACCATCAACATCACCACCACTGTAACACCAACAATAACACCATCACCACATAGATTGCCACCACTCAAAACCATCACCACCACTACATAGATCACCATCCAAACCCCACCCAAACCTCTACAAATCGCTACCACACAAGTACCATCACCACCATTACACAAAAATACCATCTAAACCCCAAAAATTGCCACCAACCCAAACTGCCTCTCCTTTGTGCACACTTGTAAAGAGTTGTTGAAGAGTTTGATCTACTTTGTAGTGTCATCTCACCACCGCAACTTAAGGTGATTCGCGATCATTTCACCATCACAACTCACAGTGGATCTGATGCAGAAACAAGAGAGGATACGAGAGGGAGGAGCTGGCTTCGTTGGACTAGAGAGTGGTTACGGCGACATTGCTTCGATTGGCTTCACTCCAGCGCCGACAATCTCACTTTATTTTCCCACCGTTGATAGTCAGTGGTTGAGAGGTGAGAATAGAGAGAAAAGTGAGGTAATTTAGGGTTTAAAATTAAGATTTGTTAGATTAATTATTATAAATAAATAAAACCTAAATCCAACTATTATAGAGAGCTGAAATCTACAATAATTATGTTGATTAATTTATGTTGAATATTGTAATTTAAAGATTTTTTTGGAGGGTTAATATGATATGTTTTTATCTTAATTTTTATTTATTTTGTTATTTCATATGTTAATGTGTTATAAATTAAATTATATTTTAGAAATGAAATAACTTTTTTTTGAACAATTTAGAAATGAAACAAGAAATTATGGGATTGGATATGTTTTTACTTTTTACCATATTTCATCTGTCAATTTTCACGTAATTATATTAAAATAATTGTGACATGCCTAAGAAATTAAAAAATTTAATTTTAAAGGACTAATCTGAACATCATCTAAAACCTTAGAATTAAAATCAAAATTACTCTAGAAGGAAGAAAGGGCAACTGATTTTGAGATTTCTAAGAAGGAAAAATGGGTGCAGGGCAGGCGATGAAGAGAATACCACGCATCAAATTTCCTCGAAGGCATCCCAAACCCACGCCCTCGGGTATGACACACATACACACATACATATTTTGATTTTATTTTCTCTCGATGGATTTTATATTTTATAATCCCTGTTGGATCTCAGCTTTAGCAATGATTAGTGTTCTATCGGGGTAATAAAGGGAGTTCCTTTATTAATTGTCATTGAAATGGTTGGCATCTGAATTTTTAGAATAATTTTTATAGACTTGATGAAGGTTTAGCATTGATTTTTTTATTTTATTATTATTATTTTTTTCCCCAGAAAAAGGAAGAGGAAAGAATGTTAACATTAAGTACTGTAAAATAAAAAGATGAGAGAGTGTTTCTTATTATTCAATCAAGCTCAGAGCTGGTTTAAATAGCCTTGCGTGAAGTATGCAGAAGTAGAAAAATCTGCAGCAACTAATCCTCGTCTAGCAAACCTACAAGTGGGATATTCCTAAAGAATAGATAAAATGCTACCATTTCCCAGGCAAACAGGATTATTAACAGCCTTGCAACCTCACAAAGGCTTCTTGCTTCAATGGTTTGGTTAATATATCTGCAATCTGATCTGCACATTAACAGTGAACCAACTCAACAACCCCATCTTTAGTAAGATCATGAAGAAAATGAAACCTGACATCTATGTGTTTGCTTCCTCCATGAATAACTTGATTTTGGAGAGCTTAATTGCTAAACTATTATCACAGTAAATCAGTATAGGTCTTGACTGATTGCAATATAGTTGTTTGAGTATTATTCCTAACCAAATTGCTTGACAAACACAAGGTGTAGCTGCAACAAATTCAGCTGCAGTTGTGGACATAGTGACTATCTGCTGCTACTTTGAAGACCATGAAATGGCTCTTGAGCTTAGTATGAAAACATGACCTGATGTGCTTTTCCAGTCTTCTATATCCCCAGCATAATCACCATCATTGAAACCAACTAATTTCACATTTTCAGCCCTTTTATAAAACAAATCAAAATCAGTTGTACCTTTCAAATACCGAAGCACCCATTTTGCAGCTTGAAGATGTATTTCGGTTGGAACTTCCATGAATTTGCTGATAAGAATAACAACATACATCATGTCTGGACCATCTGGTTGAGTGGCTGATAAGTACATTAAGTTTCCAACAATTTGCTTGTAATATTTATTATCAACTCTTACTCCATGAACATCTCTTGTTAGTCTACAACCTGGGATAATTGGATTTAGAACTGAATTGCAATTAGTCATCTAAAACCTATCCAAAATTTCAAAAGCTTACCTATGATGCTCGAACTCGGGTACGGGTATATATCTAAGTGTCAAATCTTTTATTTTTTAAAATATAGGATACAGGGACATTGCTAAAAAGAGTCCAAATTTTGGATACGGGTACGTGGGTAAGTCTTTCAAGTTTCAATTTTTTTTTTTACTAACCCAAGACATTATTTTGAATTAACCAAAATCAATTGTTCACAAAGAATGAAATGAGTACTGAATAAGGGATTAAAACGAATAAATAAAATATTGGAGTTTAGTTTTCAATTATGGGAAGTTAATTACTAAATGTTATATAAAATAGAAAATGCGGGACTTGATTGTAATTTGGACATAGTGGTGCACTAGGTTGCACTATATGGAATCCATTTTTATTTTATATAAGAAAAATCTTAAATCACCGATACAGAGAGGAAAAGAATAAAAAAAAAAAAAGACGAAAAGGGAAAGAAAAAAGAAAGAAGAAGAAAGGAAAAAACTTAGTGCTATTGTCCTTCTCCACCCTTTCGAAGGCAGCACTAAATTTAGAGAGCAAAATTGGGAAAGGGAAAGAAAAAAGAAGAAAGAAGAAGTAAAAACAGCGAAGTGTTCGATTGAAACTTGGATGATCCGACACATATCCTATACCTATACCCTATGTTGCTCGGACTATAAAAAATGGAGAAGTATCCGTGTTGACATGACATAACTCGGATATTGACACGGGATATGGATCGGATCCTTAATTTTGCAATAAGATACTATAGCAAAATAGAGAAGACGGCGGAAGGTGGAGTCTTTCTTCTAGCCGCACCAAATTTCATCTATAGAGATAGAGTTATCTAGCCTTGCGTTTGTCTATAGATGTTTCAGGGTTTCTGCTTCTAGCTTGGAAGAAAGAAAACAGCAATGTCGGGGAAAGAAGACTAAGGAAGAAGAAGAAGGGTTGCCCTAATTGATTGAAGTGAGCTTGGAGCGAATTTTGAAATGATTTATAAGGGCTTTTGTGAAGTCCAATGCATATAATTAATGAAATTACAATTATTTTATTGGGATAAGTTGTATGGTCAAACTCATTTCATTTGAGTTTATTTTTATATTAATTTTTTATTTCTTATATTTATGTAAATGAATTGTTTATTTTGTAATTAAAATAATTTAGAGCTATACCTAGTTTTTGATATTAAATTTAAATATATTTCTATATTCGTTTTTCAATAATATATAATACGTTTACATTGATTTTTTCCTTTAATTTTTTTGAAATGTCATTTTAAAAAAAAATAAAATATTTTGTAAAACGTATTTCTGTACTCGTATCCAAAATTCAGATTCTTTTTAACCGTATCCCTGTATCTTAATTTTTATAATGAGAATAATCTGACTCTTAGATATGTACCCGTATCCAACACCCACACCTGAGTCCAAACAACATAGGCTATACCCATGTATCGTATTCGACATGGGTACTTCGACTATTTCGAAGAGTCCGTGCATAAGAGGAGCTTACTTCTTTTGTCCTATAAAAATCTCAGAAGATAATTGGATTACCTTAGTACCAAGAAAATATCGCATCTTTTCTAGATTGGTCATGTCAAATTCATGGATGTAGTACATCACAACTACAATTAATAGTTTCCTACTACAATTATTTTTTATCTTTTCTAGGAGTTTATCTTTTCAGTTATGTTTATCTTTTTTGTTTTCTTATATAATTGTGATAGAACTTTTATTTTTTATTTGATTAGGATTATAGTTTCAATTTTCTAAAACTAGTAGAAGTAGGGAATAATCTTGCCTATTTATATAGGGATATTGTACACTTTTCATAACAATCAATCATTATTCAATCAATACAAAGCTAGTTATTCCAATATATTTCTGTTGGATTTTATGTGCAATATTAAAGAGATGAAAAAAATCAACACAAGAATTTACGTGATTCGGCGGTGTGTCTACGTCCACAAGAGTGAAGTAGAGATTTTTTTTATTTAGTAGTGAAAAATAGGATTACAACATATTATTTATTCTAACCCTAACCTGGGCCCATATAAGACTTTAAGACCCGTACAGAAAATACCCCTGTACCGTATCGCGAGGGCGTTGCCCCCACACCCCCAATCCATTCAGCGTCCCTAACAACCAGATAGTGAATTAAATCTGCGCAAGGCCGATGCCGTCGCTCCGCTCCTCTCACTCCACTCCGCTCCGCGTTGACATCAGTCCATTTGATCCAGGACTTGTGTTCCACTCTATATGAGCCACATGCACAACAATTTCTAATTTCAATTTTTATTACAAGAATTTCCTTTGATGCTCGGACTCTTCGAAATGGTTAGAGTACCCGTGTCGAACACGATACAACATGGGTATGGATATGAGATATATGTCGGATCCTCTAGATTTAAACCGGAAACTTCGCCCTTTTTTACTTCTTTTTTCTTTTCCTTTTCTTTCCCGTTTCCTATAATTGAATACTAAACCCGAAAATTGTATTTTATTAGTCTTAACGTCTTATTTAATACTCATTTCCTTTTTTGTGAACTATTGATTTTGGTCTATTCAAAATGATATCTTGGGTTAATAAAAAAAATTGAAGTTTAAAAGACGTACCCACGTACCCGTGTCTGAAATTTGGATTCTTTTTAACCATGTCCCCGTATCCTATATTTTAGAAAATAAAAGATCCGACACTTAGATACGTACTCGATACCCGTACCCGAGTCCGAGTATCATATAGAATTTCATAGTGCTTTCGCACCGAAATTGCTATAGGAGCAAGGAAATTGCCTTAATCTGATGGCTGATGGTGATCCTAGTGGCTACCGTCAATGACAAGTAGAGGCTCGACAAACTTGAACAACTTATCGAGGGGATCGATGAAACCTTTCAAAACATCACGCAGATGCTGACTGCATTGAGTCTTGAAAGGAATCGTGAGTCCATGGGGAAGCAAGCTGACAAGAATTTGCAGACTTTAACTACTATGAATGTTGGTTGCTTCAACAAGATTAAAACTAGACAACAGGTGGCTAGAGAGTTTCCTCGAGTCGTAGCTAAGTTTGAATACATGCAAGTTATTAAGAATTTTACGAAGGTTTATAAAGAAGATATCAAAGAGTCTAATTTGAAGTACAAGAAGATTTTTAAAACACGATGCACCATTAACAATAAAGTATGCAATGTGATAATGAATCATGAAGGTAGTGGAACTTGGTATCCAAAGTATTGGTGATAGTTTTAAATTTGAAGATCGAAATATTATCAAACTTCACATGTTAAAAGGGAACAAGAAATTCAAAACATGGAGGTATGTAAAATTTCACTTTCTCTTGGAAAGTACTACAAAGATGAAATTATATGTAACGTGGTAGAGATGGACGATTGTATTGTACTTTAGGGACAACTATGGTACTATAATGTAGATGCAACTTATATAAGTCGAGATAACAGGTATATATTTTGGTGGTATGATAAGAAGATTGTTTTAATGGAATGTGACGAGTAATTTGTGAGGCGTGTCAAATTGATAATAAAAATTTTGTTGACCTTTTCTTCAATTTCACTGTCAATGAAATGCATGAGAATAAGGAAAATATGGACGATGAAAATTTAAGTCTTCGTACCAATTCTTTTGTATTGAAGAGAGCATCACTAAACATTATGCAAAAGATGAAAAATATGAAGAATCGAAAATAGCATCAGTGATCTTTATCAACAGTTGACTCAAGGATAAGAAATCAAATCATGCTTCATTTATGAAGAAATATTGTGTAGAAGTTATTTGT